CACTGGGTAAATGAATGTACGATAAGATATAGTGACTAAATGAAGTTTCTCAATAGGCCTAAGAAACGCCAACAGTCAAATGTTGGAAATTTTCATGCCTATTATGGATGAGAACACCGGATAAGAAACAATCTTCTAGGCCGCTTTTACAACATGATCAAGTTTGCTAAAACGTGGTCTTGTTAAGTTATCAAGTTTCTACATCATCAAATTAGCAGTGACACCTGGTAGTTCGCCCATCCATCATCTGATATTCAGCTTTGTTTTTCTCACTTTCTTTTCCCCATAAAGTATTTTATGATAGTCACTAATAGCCTCATTTCTAGTTCCGTTCTAAGGTGGGACGGAATGACTGGAATGGCTGAATAGATGTAAATATACCAAGTTTGAGGTACGTTCTTTGAAGTCGACCAAGTTGTGAAAACGAGGTCAGAGCAATTAAAGCCACTTGACTGATATTTAATGTTATCAGAACCATGCGTAAAGGTCGCCAGGTACCAAAATGCATTTGCATATTGTTTTTGAAGGTAAATGTGATATAGTTCAAGTTGTACTTGGTGCTACCCTATGTGATTATTACGTTTCTTATTTGAGCCTGACGAATAATATATAATAATAATAAATATTAAATATGGTGTTCCAGCATGTGACCGCAAGTAAATGTGATACTTTTTGTAAAGGATAATTCAGGTGCCTCCTATTCGTCAACCAGCCGAATCACTTTGTGGTTGTCTTGTCGTTAAAAGCTTTGGAAGACAACAATTCACCTCCGTTGAGGTAGATAACCGGTTCCATTTAAAACCAAGTCCTACGAACGTTTCAGCCTCCTGTACCACTAGCCAGGGCCATCTTGAGGCCAGACTCCCCACGGCGGGATCAGACGAACAGACAATCCCAGAGGCGGATCTCGTGGCTCTTCCGGACTCGACTGTCAACGTTCGATTTCGAGGCAGTGACCACCAGACTGTCTACGATGGGTTCCTTCGTGTACTGCCCGAGGCATGGGCAGCGAGTCCACTAGTAGCTGGTGAACAGAAACGTTTCGGTCTGGAAGAGCTTACTGCCTTGGCGGAACCGATTGTTACCGGGTTAGACATTTTGCACTTTTTGGTATGCCTCTGTAACTCGTACCTCGGTGAATCAAGCTGTTTCCGCTTAAGTGAAAAGAAGAACGTATTCTGCAGCTGTACCGCCCGCTTGTTGTGACTGGGTGAGTGGAAAGAGTTCTTCAATTGGCCCTACTAGAAACCGAATGAAAGTCCTTAGCTTATCGTTTTTCAAATATGATCTATCTGTGATGAGCTTTCGTCTATCCCATTATGACAGAGGTCAGAGTAAGATGCTATGCTTCGTGAAATCCCTTCAAATTTGTCGGACATTACAGAGAGACTAAACTGCAAGGAAATTTAAGCTATTTCAGCTTCTGTTGAGACCCTTTTGCTCACGTTTCTTAACCAAATAAAAGGCACGAAATAATGTTCTCGTCTTTTTTTGAGCTCGACTGCCGAATTCTCCTAGGTAGCCTCAACCGCTTTATTTGGCTTTATCTACCCTTGGAGAGAAATGTAACATTTAATCTTCCCAAATATGGCTTATTTGGCCGATCTTTCGTTGAGGAGATTAAACGACCAACTCATCAAAAACTGGTAGAATACCCAAATGATTATAAAACTCAATGGCAGAATACCTAACTAAAACAAGACATAAAACGTGGTGGTCTTTAGACCTTTTGGTATGCGCTGAATGAAAGGAGCTATTACATTCTACAGACTAGAAAGGTATATTAAGAGCAAGAACTATTTGCCAGTATTATTTAATTTATATATTTGTTATTTCTTCTAGGTTACGGAAGAATAGAAAGGTGCTGAGTCTTAGGAAAGCAGATTAATAAAACACATGTTCGACCTTGGTTCTAATTGATTTCGCGTTTTCTACGTTTAGACTCAGTTGCGCGACTATTCAGCATTTGAGTCAAAAGCGTATCAATAATCTTTATTTACCTCATGACAGATTTTTCTGCCCTCGTTTCGTTTCCGAATTATATAACTTTGTTTTTGTATACCCTCACACACGTACATATATACTCGCATACACAAACACACAAATGCACATGACTATATGAAGACATCGTGGGGAAATAACCAAGTTATTCCATAGCTATTGTTAAATGAATCACTTTATGCAGGTATACCGTAACGAAAAGCTAAACGGCTACTTTTTCTAACCTGCTGTAAGCTTTAGAATGACAAGAATTCGTACTTTCTCTGTAGCCCACAAGGATATATCGATGACTGCTTCAACCGGGACGTCCTACTTGCTCTAAGCAACAGCAAGCAAATCGCCCTCGTGTGATGGGGTCGAACAATGAGTGTTTTCAATGCACACTTTCCCTCAAAATGAAGATGAACTTTACGCAAATTTTTTTTAGCTAAAATGAAATGAAAGGATTGCGGACAGTTTGAGATGCATGAAAGCTACGAGAACCTAAAAAACGCTGGAATAACAGAGAGGATTAAGAGTAGTAAATGCTTCACATCGTAATTCCTCAAAATGTTGAACTGACCACCTCATCAGATTGACTTCAAGCAGAATGGATCAGAATGAATAGTATATTTATCTATCTCCAGCTGGAACTTTTGTAGTATTCTGCTACTATTTTGTGCTTCCAATGAGCTTTTACGACAAAAATACAAGCTTTAATCACCAAAATTTGATCTAATTGATTTAAGGAAGAATAGCTAAATGGTTAGGCCTCACAGTCCAAATTAATTTTATTTGATCAAAAAAGTTTGAACTCAACAAGCACCAATAATGTTAAAATATGCTTACTCGGTATCAAATAATATGATCGATTTTATTTAATAATAGTAGTTTGCCTGATCCACAATATCCACTAGAAATGTGATTTACAGCCAGGTCTGGCCAGCCTTGAAAGTCACATTTACCCTATGATGCACTGAAAGCTGTGCATTTATCGTGAAGTGTTAACATATCGTCACAACGCCCAAGCTCTAGTTTCGAAAAACGTTAAAGTGCTGATGAGAGACTTCGGTGAGATCGAAACTGCAGTCAATTCTTGATACTAAAATCATTTTGGATGCAAGGCTGAATAAATTGTATTGGAACCATTGAGCTCATTTGCATGAATACGTGAAAAAGCGCCATTATGGTTTTAAAATCACCTTTACCAACCTATAATAACTAAAGTTATTCATAAACTGTTGAAAGCTTGGAAAATTTTAGTTTTATCGAGTATTATGGCATATAAATGTTTGCCTTATCGAAGATCCCATTGTATATTTGATTTTAAATAGACATAAAATGCTGTATAAGTTTAATCTGTTCTGCTATTGTCTGGCATATTTGGCTGTATGGCGGGATACTAACGCCACCGCCTGGGTTCAAATCCCATCAGATAGGCTGATATGACTTAGGAGAGGTCAAAACTGCCGTTAAGCTGGACAAGAAAATCTTTTTGGAAGTAAGGCGTTATGAAGTCTATTCAGTTAATTTTGTGAAATTTCCCTATCACTCCTTAAGCCAACTTAGAAGTTGACTAAACTTTTAATTTGAT